TCGCTCTCATGTGGAGCTGCTGCTGAATTGGTTGAGACAGAATTCAGGTCCGCAACACTCAATTTTCCATATCTTGCTCTGTCTAATCCTAATTGCCCATGGCTGGAGAGCTACAAAACAGCAACATGCCAATAAAGCAATTAATTGTATGGCACAAACTTTAATTTATTTGTTACAGTATCCACAAATCTTAAGTAGTTTGCCGCTGCGAGCCTCAGTCGAAAAGTTTTGCTTGATAATCTGAGAGTTTTTCTCCCCAGATCACTGATGTAATGCTGCACTGTTATGACAACACAGATTTCTTGCCTCCACAATAATCTCTGGAAAAGGTTGCCATGTGGATTCCTCTCCTTAGACACCGTGGGAGAAGTGAAGGAGAAAAAGGAGGAGTGGGAGGAGGTGAAACACCCATTTTTGGAGTAGAGCCAAAAAAGCATCCCGGTTAATTTTAGGTATAATCAGGTGTGCATCTGGAAAACAGTGAGAATGAGAACAACACTTTACACACTGAATAACGAAGGGCACACAACCTCGGAGTCGACAGCCCGTCATGATGGAGGGTCTGTTGAAGTAGAGCGATAGTGAGGAAAGCTTCCCCACCGGAGAGCAGCCCAACAAACTGGTAATCCTTTTGCATTGTGAGATGAGATACCGTAGTTAGCCAAGTGACCTTGGCTCTGCGTGAGAAGGAGATTGCCAGAGGGCTGTACGCCTCACGCTGGGAGATATTGCTATTTAGTGCACAGACACTGCAGTTGAAGCCCAGCATGCATCGCACACTATGCACTCTAAAAAAAAACAAAAAACTCCTTGTTAGTCTTCTACGGTGTTTAACATTCTATAAAGTGTAGAACATGTTTTTTTTTTGTATTTGATTTTATGTCAGTGGAAATAATCATTTTCCATCTGTTCCATTCTCCACTGTGACGATGTTCAAAATGAGCCAAAATTCCAGCCCCCGATATGGAAATGAATTAACTTCTCATGTGCCAATCACTGCACCAACCAAAAATAGCTGGCAATATAAAATCTACTGAATACCTGAAACCCCTTTTTTCTGTAAGTTTTACATCAATAACATACAGTATATCCAGCGTTCCTAAGGATTAAGGCACACAGGGATCCAGTACACTGAACTGACTGCAATACCAATACATTGCAGATTTGATATATTCCTGTGCCTTGGGACAATTTGGTCCGCATTAGTGACTTGAGACAAGAGTAAAAACATTTTCTCGGCTTCTAATCTATGACGTCTAATGGCAAAATAAAATTATGAAAGTGCTGACTGCAAGCTGGGCTGTTTCTCTGGCGAACACACTCCCTAATTCACAACTGATAGGTGTAATAAAAAATAAAACTCATTTGAAGGTACAAATCCTGACAACAAAATTACCACAGAATCTAACTTCCATTCATTGTTAATTGAACATCTCCAGGCTAGCATTTGGAGAGAATTGTTAATGTTCAGAGTATTGATTGGCCTGCACCGGGCCTTCAGAGTAACATTGTCAGTGCTGCACAAAAGTGCACAAATCCAATCTTGCCCCCTTTTTTCTGTAATTACGCGCTGACATTATCCCCTACATTAAAATTGCATGACCTGGGGACAAAGGCATGCCACTGAAAAATAAATCAGCCAAGGCTGTCAATCGAAGAATGAACCCGTTAATCTAAATTTGGGAAAACTTTTGGAAAAGTAACCTCCAAAGCAACTTTACCATATAAATAAAGTCTTCGTTGACGGTTCACTAAACCCAGTCCTTGTACAGCGATTGTCCAATTATATAGCGTAACAACTGTAAGTAGGCATGGCAGGCCTGTCAATTTTGACCAACAATAACCTGACCTAAAGTCAATGGTGTGCAAAAGTGCATTATTTAGAGAGTAAGATGCGCCTACATGGTCAAGTTCACTCTGCTTGTTGCACACACAGGGATATCGGTTATCGGTGTGTTTGCTCATATGCAGTCACATGGAGTTGTTGATGGGACAGACGATTGGGAGACGGTGGGGGCAAAGGGTCCACCGGCCAAGGACCACATCCCTGTCCCTTCCCTTCCTTCTCAACAATAATTCAGCACCATCTGTCAGTGGACAGCGACAAATAGTAAACGAAGTGCCCTCCATATCAGAATATCCAACCCATCAATGTAAGACAATTCTAGGCCTTTACTGAATAGTTGGAAGCTTTGAATATTCATTTACAATGTTAACATTTGAATTCTAAATCAACATTTGAATGCTGCGCAGCGCTTTCTCTTGCTTGATATTCCTTTGGTTTAAAGACATTTCTGTGTGACAAGTGTAGAAAAAGATTAGGCTACATATAATATCTAAAGTCTTTTCTCGTGTAACGTTAAGAGTGAATACTGTCTACAAACATGCAGACAAGTAAGCTAAGCAGTCAAACAGGGTTAATTTAATGTTAGAATGAAGAGTTGAATCTTACAATTCCTTTCTTGTATACGACTACCTAGCTCTACACTGCAATACAAGAACAATTCTCTTCTCTTCTTCTTATTTTGTGGATCATCAACTGGGGATGATGCGAACTGTTTACCTGGGACATACATGGATCTATATAAAGAGAACTGGATACAGCGTTTGAGACGGCGCCCCATCCATTCCAAACGTTGCTCAGCGGCACATGAAGCAAAAAAAGTTTGACTTTAGAGTATAGAATTTAAATAAAATTACCCAGATGTTCAGGTGATCTTCTGTGTTTCTGTACTTATTTAGACGCATTTTAGAGCTGGAAACATTAAATTGGCAGTTTTCAACAAATTTATGCAGTAAACATTACCTTATTTATTCAACCAGCTAAATTGAAGCTGGTTAGAAATGAGAAGCTTTTTCTTGGCCTTGTCTGACAACAACAACCTATTCTAAGAATAAGAATTGTACGTGCTAAATATGCAGTTTTCCTTGTAAACTGCATGTGTGCCATGAAAGCTTAGCAAAGGGAATATGCATAATGACCAGTCCTTCACATTCACATCATTAAATGCTGATTTGAATTATAGAAAATTCTGCTCAGTGATGTCCTAAAAAGCGGGCGTATATATTTAACTCTCTTTATTCTAGTTCATGACATAAATAGCCTGTAACATTGAGAGAAAATACAAGAAACCATAATGAGTGCATTTAATATTTCAAATAAATATCATGAGCCAGTGGCTATATTTGGTGCAAAACACCATGGCAACGCATGCCACCATATTCACCACCACAGATGTTGCAAAAAAGAAAGAAGGTTTTACAGAGCATCGCTCTAATTCAAGCTCTACTTCCATCACTCTATTACCAGTTTAAACATGTTGTCTGTACCTCCCCACCCACTCCATTCCCACCAGAACCCAACACACACACACCCACACACACACACACACACAACACAGTCGTGTTTCACTTTAGAGGACATAACATTGACTTACATTCATTTCCTGGAGACTTAAACCTTGAGATTACCTTTGGGGAAGTGCATTTAGTCCCCAAAAAAAAGATAAGTCCCCACAATGTGATTGTGTCAACAGCTTTATGTCCCCACAACATGAGTAATACAAGCCCACACACAGACACACGTTGCTAGCAGCCGTCATTCCACCCTGCATGCTGGCCTGTCAAGTGTCCACCCATCTGTTGAACCTAAGACAGCATGCAAATCTCAACCAGAGAGGAAATGCACTGTTAAACGATGAACTTATCTGCATGCAAACAGTGGCTTTCGGGGGCCTCTGGGGTCCGGGGCCCCAGGGCATGCTGCAAAAGTGCATGTGTGTGTGCATCTCCCTGCAACGCAAAGTAGCTTAGCACTGATGCAAGCTGCAGTCTTGCCCTTGGTTAAGAGAAACTGTACTTCCTTTCAACTTAATGTATTGCTATTTTCATCCAGCTACAGTATGATTTTTATGGTAATTGATTTAAATTACTATCAGGGGTTAATCCATTTTGTTCCTGTGTGCAGTCAGAAAATATATTTAGCTGCAGCTTTGTTTGTTTATGGAAGAAACTGCATGTCATGCTTTTTTTTTTCCCAAAATTGGCTCGTCAACTTCAATCATAGACTCAAGAAGTGTAGGGACACAGGAATAATGATGTTCTTTACACTCAGAACTCACAAAGCAGCTTCAAACCCTGCAGGAACACTTTGGTGTACTTTTTAGATGGATAAAAGTGACAGAAATGATTATTCACAGACATTTTGAATCAATGCCTGTCTGAGGATTTAGTGTGATGGGGGTAAACATTCACTTCATTGATGGCATAAATCTGACTAACAGGTCTCTGCAGGGCGCAGGCTATTATGGCAGATTAAACTTGAGCTTGGGTGCGTATATGGACTCACGCAGTTAATCTACCATGTCACCTCTACCATCCTATTAGTGTGCTTCACTTATGGAAACAAGCGGAAGTGATCCTATAAGTAAAAATAGACGGTCAGGCTACAAATATAGTCATTGTATGGATCAAACGATGTAAAGTTTTACCCTCAGAGATAATGCATGTAGGATATTAGATTCGCTCAATTAGTAATAGTCACTTATTTGTGTTTAATAATATAACACCACTGCACTTACGTTAAAGGAGGGCAGAGATGAATTCTTTATTTGTGTCTAGGAGCGTATTGGTCATTCCTGCAGCAATGAACTGGGGGCTAACAGCAGGACCTGGTCACGCATGCCAAAAAAAAATCCTGCTGAGTGAGAGTGAGTGAGTGAGTGAGTGAGGATGCTGAGGGGCGTAGCGGTGTTGAGCCCCTGGTGGTCAGCGCTCAGGAATTAAAATGCATGCCTCTCATTGCCAAGGAGCGAGTAACGGTATACGCGAGGAGGAACTGTTCGCATCCTCCTCCTTCGCAGAATAACGCACGGATGTGCATGTTCAAGAAGGGTAGTACAAAAAAACGCACCCGGTGTTTTCTTACTTAAAAAAAAAAAAAAAAAACGGTGGTGTGTGTTTTCGTTGGGGCGCCCCCCCCCCCCCCCCCCTCCCCTCCTCCCTTAAATTGGACCCTCCGAGCTTTGACTGGGCTGGTGTGCTCGCTTTTTTGTTCTCCGCGTAGCCGCTGCCACACCGCAAGGAAATAACGGGAATTCACTCGCAGCCCCGGCTTCACTTTGGGTGAGTATGGAGACGAAATGCATGCTTTTCACCGCACCGGTGTATTCTAATTACAGCTTTTAATCGCAGTGCTTTAAACAGAGCAGCGCACATGAGGGATTAAAGTCTTAAAGTGCCGCTGACCAGGTGTTGCACTGTAACTTTCTTCTGCAAAAGAAAAAAAAAATCATCTGCTCAAATATGAACATGTCTAATAGAAATCGACGGCGTGCTTTTGTTGTCTTAGAAATTGGTATCGATGTTTAAACACCTGCAGATTCATGAGAATAGTTGTTGTGGTTATAATTCATTCCATAATTCACACCCCTGCTTCTCATGTCTCATTATGAGCGTGTTCATGCACGTTTTCTCTTGATTGTTGAACTGTAGAGTCACATTGAGGAAAAAGCAACTTCTTCTTTTTGAGGGCTGGTTTTCATTTCTTGGCTTCGGGTTGTGTGGTGGGGGGCTGCTGGCTAACTCGACTCTCTGACTTCAAAAACACAATGTACCCTCCACTGTGTGGACTCCAGCAACTGTTTAACACACAGCAGATGTGCAGAGGAGAGATATCTGTGCTGTACACGTTAGTAGGTGTGTTTGTCTTGTGTCCCGGAAGCGGCCTCATTAAACAAAACAACACTTTCGTCTGACAGAAATCCTTTTAATTAGTTGTAAACATTAATCACTGTGTCTTTCACTGTCAGCTTAATATCCCAGCGTGAGTAAACTCCAGGTTTACGGGTTACGCCTTCTGCAGTGATCCCCTCTGTTGTGTATTTTGCATGAGATGACACCTCACTCACTAATGAAGGCGTTCATTTTTCCACTGGAACTTCTCATCGCCATTATAAATAATAAGCAATGGAGCACATTAGCGCAGCCGGCTCCTCATCACCTCTCCAATCAGATTGGATGGCGTGACCTTGGGGGACCGGGCTGCAGCATTTGGAGAGGAGGGCGGCAGAGATGGGTGATGGGGTGCTCTGATGGCATCCATTATGGAGGAACCCAATTACATCTGGAAATTGTATTTGCCATAAGCAATTGCCATTTGTTGCTCTGTAAAAGAGAGAGGAGCTGATTTGATAGAAATGTGTCTCACCCTAATAATGTGCACTTCAGTCAGCCTTCACTGCATGCTTTCTCAGCCGTATGTACATTGCGATTTAAAAGATCTGTGTGATTCCTCTGAGAGGAACTCCATTGTGGGCTCCTTTTTAACAACGGAGCATGGGAGAAGCAATGAGTCACCATGAATCATGACAACTCTCACCAGCTGCCAGCCAGATGAAGACACGCTACAAAGAAAAGTCTGATGAAACTGCAGTCGTGCTTCCGTTTCCACTTCAAAGCACGGCACGGCGAACAGAAACGTATAGCGTTCCACGACGGAAGCCTAACATCTCTCTCAAAGTTTTTGCAAGTTTCTCTAACGATCCAACTTTCGTTTTTTTAAGATCTCTCCTGCAAGGTATTTCCTCCAGTCTTTAGGTGCCGTGGCGTCAGGCCTGAGTTAAGTCGGCGCGGGCTTTGCAGCAATCAGTTATTCTGCTCTGGCATTCATACTCCCTGCTCCAGACAGAGGAATCCCCGTGGCTCACCACAGACCCATCAGACCCTTTAAGTGCACTGCTTTACAACAAGGTCTGGGACCAAGACTGCAGCGGCAACGGCAGGAATGTTTCCAGTCCCTCGGGTGGTGGTTGGCATGTGTCTGCAGCATGTACAAGTATATTTCACTAATAGTTAGTGTCTTTTGTTCAGGCCTCTCAGCTCCGTCACACACTGGCTTTTTTTCCTTCACCGTGGACTTCTCCCTTGCTTTTTGATTTGCCCTCTGTTTCCACTTAACAGTCCTGGCTGTTTTCCAAGAAACACCTCAGCACCATTCTTCTTCTTTTTTTTCTCAAGCATGAGCAGACTTGTCATACTCTAAACACACGTGGAGAATACATGGCTTTTACTTCATGTGAGCTTTTACAGAACGGCATCTCGCTGCATCCCGGCTGCATTTATCGGAGATGATTGTTACAAAAACGACAATTTAAACATGACCGCTTCCGCGACAAAGAAAGCCGTCCTGTGATTGCGGTCTTTCCCCGGTGCAATCAGCGACTTCGAGGCTACACGTCAGTCCCGCAATTGGGCTCGTCAAATTACTGCGTGGCTTTTTATCTGCGGCTGCTTGCTTGATAATGCTTATTGGCAGGTGCCTTTGGAGGAGCAGAGGAAGGGAGTCCACAGCTGGTGCTTTTCAAGAGGGATAGATGCATTATGTAAAACCATACTGTACTGTGCAGCAGACGTTTCCTCCTCTTGATAGCTCAGCTGCATAACCACACATCTAAATAACACAACATCCCCATGAGTTTAACTCTTTTTGTTTCCGTTTTGATGGACGCAAGAGCCGTCCTCGACTTCCGTCGTTTCGTTGTAAAGCCCTTCGCTGTCCTATTTGTTTTGTGGTGATCCGTTAGTCCGAGAGTGTGTGCATCACTCCCTCAGTCATCATTAATGTAAAGTGCCTTCTGAATCTTTCATTCTCCTTACAGTCCTGAGTCCTGTTGACAGGCAGGCAGCATATACGACCTTGTCAGGAGAAATGTTTTCATTCCATGTAGAGCCTCACCTGCACATTATGTATGCTATACATACGCGATCACTCTTCAAGGCTTTGTTGAGGATTAGTGTTACTTCCTGTCTGTAGTTGCTGTGCTTGTCCTCAGTATTATTTGCAGACTGAAAAAGGGGAAAAAAATGATTTTGTCGGTTTGACATGTGGGTTTATTTGAAGGAAAGGCTAATTGTTATGCCTCGGAGGTCCATTGTTAATTAGAAGTTATCTTGGGCAGCTCTCACATGGTCACCGCTCTAATTGGCAGTCAAAGCTGTGTACCACCTGGCGTAGCCTTTAACTCACCAGGTGCTCCCAGCAAAAAAACGTCGGCCTTGGCATTATGTGAGTATGGTCTCTTAAAAGAAGACAGACTGCGAGAGGGAGAGAGCGGTAGGAAAAGAGAAGAAAAGACAGAAAGTGTGCTAAAATGGCGGAGCTGCAAAACAGCAGTTTAAGGTTATTTCATGCTGTGTCACCGAACAAAAAAAAGGTTCAGAGAAATTAGTGTAATCTTTTGAAACGCACGTCATCACACACCGCGCCTCTTTGTTTCAGATTTCTAATACCTCAGGGGATGTGTGGTGGCAGCACATCAACACTCCCCACAGCCTGTGCAGGTTTGTTTACCTGTGTTTCGTGGGAAGGAAATGGGTTTAGGGCATGACTATGAACAGTATCAAAGAGGCTTTTAGTGTTTGTTTCAGCGCCTGTCAATACGAGGATGATGAAGGATGATGGGACAATCAAGTCAATTTTGACATTCATGAACGTTAAAATCGATTCAAGCAAAAGGTTTTCTCCCTAAAACAGAATCCACATTAAGTCTGTTCTGCAGTGCAGTTAGAGAAAAGGCAGTGATTTAATCAAGAGATAGTGCAGCTGCTTTTCACAATGAACTGTAAACTCAAGCCGGGAATGCCGGGCGTAACTTGAATAGTGTGAGATTCTTCCACACGTACATGATTCAGGGTCGCGTTGTGTCTCCGCGCTGGGAGAAAATTCCCCCGTGACCCTCCTAAATCTGGACTAACTGGTCCAAGACCATGGGAATCAAAATCTTTGGTCGTGTTAAAAGGCCAGACAGGTGTGCTCCGCGTATGGCACAAACAACCCTCTTATCAAATGTGCCTTGCATCGCTGTGCCCTGCAGGACAAAAGATCGTTGTCTTCTCACACCACAGAGTCAATAGGGTTGTTGTGTCTTGCAGCTCCAGCATCTAAAGTTCGCGCTAATTCCCAAATGTGTCGTCCCTTTGTTCTCTGATCACAATCAGAATTTGAAATATAAAGCGGATTTAGACAATGCAACATCTTGATGCGTAGAGCAGATAGGAGTGCTTTTAAAATGCTTTGCAACAGTGTTTTGTTCGCGGCCTTAGGCGGAATGTGTTGCAGCAGAGCAAAGGGGCGATCTGGATCTGTGGGATTTTTTTGTTGTTGCCGTTTATTTTTTCCAGGAAGTGTTGTGCTTAGGCCCAGAGCTTTGGCAGCATGTGCTGTGTCATGCATGTACTGTATACACATAACACAATACCCAAGAGAACATGAGTCATTATCAGCATGTACAGCTCATGTTCAATCAGCAATTCAGCAGCAGTGACAATAAGTAATAACCAATTTGCAAATGACAATTGAGAAATATATAGAACAATAGAGAGGCCACGAGGAAAAACAAAACTGACTGCCTTATACAGACTAATCATAATAAACAGGCCTATCACTGCTATAATTACTGACAGTAGAATCATTACTTTCCCTTATGCTCCACTGCTACACTACCATTGTTAATAACAGTTCATTAATTAAACATACCATGGAAAACAGCAGCTCCGTTCTGTGAAAAGGACTTCTCCTTGACTGGACCCGCGGAGTTGCAGAGTGTAGCTTAATTTTGCTCTGGAGGTCATTCCAGGAATAATGAGCGGGAGAAATGTAAATACTCCTCTTTGCTTAACTGCCGGGGCACTTAGAATACCTGAGACAAGCCAGATATGAGATTCAGCCTCATAATGAGCTGCTTATTTTCATACAAGTGGGAGTGGAGTGAAAAACAGGCTGTTATTGCTTTGTCAAAAAAAAGAAAAGATGTTCTTTTACAAGAAAGTTATCGCTGAATGTTGCCTTCAATTCAGCCTTTTTTCAGTCGTTTTTTGGAAAAATTCCAAAAGGTTAAATGGAGTTATCGAGATCATTTCACGTGTGTCACATTGATTGTTATAAGCTGATGATTTTTATATCTTTTCTTTTTCTTTATTTGTCATGCATATTACCTTATTAGATGAGGTATGTAGATTTATTACATGGATATAAAGTAATGTAACGGACAGTTTTGCCATTTACTGACTTTGTTGACTGTTTCAAAAAAGCAGCACAACTCTTTCAAACGTTTTTTCAAATGACT